GATAGAGTGGGACAATAATCAGAATTGTTTGGGCTCAGCGTGTTATTGAAAGCGGATAGTTTTAGAAATTCCAATCAATGAGACAATCTTATTCATTTGTTTAAAATGCAAATAAACTTTCAATCTATAACTCCGTGGTATCTCAATATTTGTAGAACGGGATCATAATTAGTATTAGACGCGTGACTCGGTTGAGATTGTAGCCAATAAAGGAAACATTTAATCGTTATATGAAATCTGATAAATCTTTTAAGTTGAACAAAGTATGGTTTAAAAAGTTTTTATGTAAAAGTTCTTCATATTAAACAGTAATAATTGCATAAAAGTTGAATTTGTGCTGATCCAACTGTTTCAGAAATCAAAAAACATATTTATAAGTAAGCCCTACACAGTTAACTTTCATAGTATCTAAATGTATAAAAATAAAACTCTTATGTTTTAAAGAGTTTTATTTTTTAGTTTTAAAACCAATATTTCAAAATCTCCCTGGTTTAATTAAATTGGGCGCTAGTAAAGTTTCCTCAAGCAATTTTAGGGAGAATAATTCTTCCAGGCATTTACACCATGCCTCAATCTAGCAGTTTCTGGCATTTTAATTAAAGTTTTAAATCAACCCTTTTGATGTTAAGTTAAACAATACTGAAGAAATAATCCATTAAATAAAGAACCAATGAAAATATTGCAGTATACAAATTAAATTTAGAATTTTAAAAAAATTAATAGATTGATATTGTATGATAAATACTTAAATATATAGTTGAACTCAAATATGCTTAGAGTAATTATATCGAATCACTAAAATCTCAAAAATATTTTATAACAAATTTCTGATTTGATTGATTTATGTTGTGTGATGTTTTTATGATTTTAATTATGAGAAAAACACAATAAAAGAATCAAATTCCAATATTTAATATGCTTTAGTTGTTTCTTCAAAAGAAGATAATTTTTTAAAAAAAACACTGCTTTATGTACTGCAATTCCTTTAGTTTAAAGTAGTTAAAAATTGTTTATTTAAAAGTATACTCAAAAAAATTATGTCATACCTACCAGAAAAAGAATGTACCTACATATAAATAACTTTCGAAAAAAAACTTTTCAGGTTTGATTTAGTTTAATATTTCTTGCATAATTTATACAAGCGATATTTAATTTTTCATAAAATTTTCAGATCCTATTTTGAATATGAATTGGGCACACAAAAGTCTCAATTAGTGTGTTTTTTTCGGTTTCGCTACATTTCTGCGCTAAAGGAAAAAAATGGTTTAAAATTATCAGATTGTGTCAAAGTTTAGTGTTTCTGGCTCTATAGAAGTACCAGAAAGCTTCTGTAATTCTTAATAAAGCTCTTTAGTAATGATTTTAATAAAATTAACAATAAAATATTGCTTTATAATACAGGATAAAATTTCTTAATTGTGATTAAATTAAGTAATTTTATCGCGATACCTTAGTCATATCAGGATACCTTAGACATCATGATACCTTGAGAATCATGATACATTAGCATTATATAAAAACTATTTATTCGGTTTTGTATTTTTTACTATATGTGGCAATAAAATCTAAGAATGTTGAATAAAATTTCCGCTGGACCGTTCCCATGAGTACGTAATAATTACCAAATGAATGGCTAATTAAATAACATATATTACGGTTTTATCAACCAGAATTATGTTTTTGAGAGTTCTTTTCTTTCCGTGTACTATCAAAATATCCTGGCTGTTTTATAAAAAAAAAAAAAATTAAAAAAATGAATAAATAGACATATTTGTAGTGCAAACAGTAGTCACTGCCTTTAATATATACTTTTTGAATATTTAAAAAAGGATACATATTGAGGAACGTAAATTATTACCCAAAGGAATGGAAAACAAATCCGCTATCCGAATCCGTTAAACCATCCGTAAAAAAGGTGGAATGAAAACATAAGAACTAATTTCATTGCCTTAAGAAACTTGAAGATCTACCCATCGCCTCTTAACTACTCTCTGCGTCTTCCGAAAACCGAACAGATTTTGAAATTTTCAGTTCTACCTTCTTTAAAAGTAATTAATTATATTTTGATAGCATTTTTGTTTCTTCCTAAATGAAATTTTAACTTGCGCTCCAGACTCTCCCCCCCCTCCATAATATGTATGTCTAGTGTGCAAAAAAAGAGCTACAATGAATAATTTTTGATGTAATGATCGGAATTTATGTTATGGAATTCACTTTTATTGGCTGACCCTCGAAATATAGGGGATCACCGCTGTCTGAGAAATATGGCATCAATTTTTTCGTTTGGAAAACTATCTTAAGTTTCGACCACTTAATGTTAATTTTATTTTTTGTGTATTTCGGCTTATCTCAGAAATGTTTAAGTGAATTGGAAAATATTTGCATGAAATTAAAGAACTCCTTAATCTAAAGATAATTCCATACAAAAATTTATTATTATTTATTATTTTTTTTAAACTAGTCGAAATGATTTTGAATACGCAAAGATTAATATTATGACTTTTTAAAATTCGATTTCTCAGAAATTATTCAACCGATTTCAATCAAATTTCGTATTTCGCCATGTAAAATTACATTCTTAGAAATAATGTAAATGAGCGAAAATAAATAATAGTTCCTCCATATTTTTAATTTAAAATTTCAATAATTTTAATTACACAAAAATGAAATATGGTACTCAAAATGTAGCATTTATTTTATTTCTCAAGCATTTTATGTGAAAAGATGATAACGTTTTTGAAAACATTGCAGAACACTGTGTAAATATTCATTCTAAAATTAAAGTAAAATAACCAGCAGCAGTCTGGCAGTTCTAATTAACCGTAAAGTTTACGACACAGAACATCTTTTTACCTTCATGGTTAACCTTCATCTTTTTACCTTCATGACATTTTAACCATTTACAACTAGCATAGTTTCAAAACAGTAAAAACGAAATTCAACTGGACATTAGAGATGATTCAGCAGTTTTATGGTGCTGCCATCTATACTTGAATGAGAATGTCCAATTCTAAAACCCCAGGGTCGCAATTTATGGAGTTCAGGACTTTGGAAACTCTTCGTGTGTTAAAGGGAATGGAGGAAATATTGTAGTGTTAACGCTAGGACTCGAACCCCTGTTCTGTCGGTCACGAGGTTGACAGATAAGCCCTCTCGGCTGTAATATATCATCTGCACGTGGCTCCATTAGATGGATCTAGCTAGTGCGATAAAATTTTGGTTGTTATACCATAATAGGTAAAAGCAGTTAGTAAACGGTTTTACTCACTTCTAACAGTTTGAGTACCATCTTATTTCTGATTACTGAACTGTTTTGTTTGAATATGATAAAAAAACATTTAAATTAATTGTTATTCAACCATTCTTCCGAGAAATTTCTAACGGTGTAGTGAAATAAACCTATATCATATTAAACCAATCAGAATAAAAGTATAGTGACAAATTTAGTTTGTTATAACTTATAAAATGAAAAGATATATTCAGAACATTTCAGTAACTTCTTTTTATAAAATTTCAAGAGTTGTAGTGTTTTTTTTTTTTAGATATAACTAGTCTCTTAGAAGATTTTCTATTTTTTTTTTAATTTAAATATAGTTTGCCCCTACGAAAATAAGAAATTCTAATTAAAATATTTGTTCCTTTTATATCAAATAGTAATTTTTGTTAACAGGAAATGGTTAACATGAAAGAAAATGGTAAAAACTGATACAATGATACCTCTAGCCAAAAATGGACATATTTACCGACTGTATCGTTCCTCGCACGACTGTACCAGTGTCAGAGGAAATATTTTGAAATGAAACGAGAAAAACCTGTATTTATGAATTTAAATTAAGCATATTTTTTTATAAAGCTCTTCTGTAGAATTTTAATCAAGAAGATTAATTTATCCATTTCAAACTTTAAAGAATAAATTGTTCAAAGTTTTTATATAAGTAAGTTATTATTGTCATTACAACTATAAAACAGTCACTTAGAACATAGCTTAAGGAGGTGCTGAACACAAAAGTCTTAGCATATTTATTACTTAAAAATTAATGCAACTAATTTATTTCAAACGGTGAAACAATAATTATTTCATTTTAAACAAAACGCTTGGTAAAACTTAATTTCTTTTATTCGCCGCACCAAACTTCCCTAAGTGTTACTAAGAGTTAAAAAAAAAATTTTCCCTGATTATTCATTTATATTATTAACATTTTTAAACCAATATATTTTAAAAACCTATTCAAAACAATTTCCGGAAATTTGAAGTGAATATATTTTAATTATTCTTCTAAAATTTGGTTTCATAAAATTGGAAACATTTTTATAGTTAATTCAATAATTTAAAAAATAATACAAAGTAAAGTTAAAAATAAAGCCTTTAGTATGGTAGGGAAGAGCGTTGTAACATAGGACAGTCGTACCTTTCCACGAACAGCATAGCAATGTCATCGAATGGCGTCTAATTAAACTAATTTGACATCGTTGTTCTGTTATTCACTAGGAGTTCGTGTAGACATGATCGGAAGCGTCATCATAAGCCGTCAGAGGTGCTTCCTTATCATGAACTGTTTCTTCGTGTGCTTTTGAACAAAAGGAAACGCCACTAGCCGCGTACGACAGCATTTCCGGGAAAGACTGCCTATGAGATTTTAATCTTTATGATGAACCCTAAGTATCCTAGTAGTTTATCGCAACATTTACAAAAAACCCTGTTATATATATTCATATATAAGCAAACTTGAAAATATCGACAAAAAATAGACTAAAAATTTCATTTTAAAAATCTCTATCTTTAGATACAAAACTAATTTAAAATTTCCACATCCGAATAAGACAAGATCAAATTGTATAAATGCATCAAAAAAATGTGTTCCCCATTTTAATCTGTAGCAAGGTTTGGCAAGATAACAAAATTGAATAATCAATATTTCAGTAAACTGATAATCAATAACCTAATTAGTAAAGTGGCTTGATTATATCAAAACACATCACACATAATAAGCAACGACATGTCCACACATTTGTCTGAATTTTATTTTATGAACATGATTATATTTACACATGGCATGATTTCACAAAACAAATAGTATACGCTAAACAGGAAAGTCTAAATATCCAAATCAAACTCAAGTGATTTTTAACATCCCCATCATAATAGGAAAAAAATGACAAAATACCAGTTATTACAAATGAGCTGCGTTGTTTTATAATATTTAAAGTGTATTTAAATAAACATTGGCAGACTAATAAATACATGAATATTAAATTTCATTCCTATATTCATATTAAAAACCAAATTCATTATGAGTTTTAATTATGCTAATGCATATATCACATATTTTACGACATTTAAAGTTCCAAATTCAAAAAATTAATAAGATTTTGATTTAATTAATTGTTTGACTATATTGTTATTTATTTGTCTTTACATAAAGAAATTTTTTTCTGTAACAGAAAACAAATAAAGAAGGAATAAGCTCCCATTTGCAATTGCTCCATATTACAATTAACTGTAACATGTTAATCCTTTAAAAATTTAATTAAAAAAAATTAAATGTCTTAAACTCATAAAATGCTTGTAAAAGTAGAAGTAACTTTTAGAAAATTCTAGTTAAAAACAGTCTAAGATTAGTCTACTTTTACAGACTCCTTCAGAGCGCCATTTGTTTGTGTTTTCATTTTCTGGTCTTCTAAGAATTTTTTGCTCTGTTTCTTCATTCGAAGTTCCTGGTTGTAAGTGTTTTTGTAAAAGTTGTAAAACATTACAAAGAACAAAATGGCGTGAAAAATAATAATGTAGGCAAATATTGGTTGAAAACCACAATCGTAAAAGATGGGTACAGTAGCATGAATGGTAGCAATGATAAACTGAATCTAAGAAAAAAACATATAAAATTATTATTGCATTCATAGCTAAAATAAATTTATGAATTGAATTACAATATAACCCATAATTATAAAGAAATATCTAAAATATTGCAAAACATATCTGAATCATTAAATAATATACTTTTAATAATACGCATTTTTGCAAAAAATATTTTACTGTAATATCGGTCAACAATTATTAAATTTTGAAAGAAAACTCTTGCAATTAAGCAAAAAAGTAACCACTATTTTAAATTAAATGTCCGAACTTTAAAACATCTCAATTAGATCTCTTCAGACATTGAATAATTATTTAATTAATATGACTTTTAGGCAATTTTTAATAATTTAAAATTATTGCTTGTAACAGAAGTTATTTTAAGATGAGTTACGTAGAATAAGTAACAGTGGTATATTATTACTATAAAAAAATCAGATGATTATACACTTAATAAAACAGTTTTAAAACCTTCAAACTATTTTATTAAGTTTTATTGCCCTTTCCATGTGTTAAAATCTAAATTATATTTTTTTAAAAACTTTTATAAACTCTTCATTACACAAACAAAAATTACATCTGGTCCTTTGGGGTGCATAATGAACAAAATGAACATTAACTAAAATGAATATAAATTAAATGAACATTAAATAAAATGAATACTGAAGGGAAAACTAAATATGAAGTTAATGTTTTGGTATAAAATCTGAAGGGAAAAAAATAAAAGACTTAAAATCATTTAATATAATCAATAAGAAAATTTGAATGTTATGAAAAATTAAACATTTCAAACATGTGAAGTTTCTGGAAGTTGAAGTTTGAAGATTTGACGTTATTATTAATTGCAATTAATTTTTTTTTTGATTTAACCAGTATTAATTTTTTTTATTTCAATAATAAGATTTTCTATTAAAATTTAAAGAAATTAAACACCTTCAGTAAACTTAAAACCTCAAAACGCGTTTTATTTACATATGAAACATAGATGTTTTAATAAGTAATCTGAGGGGAATTATAATTAAATTTACGATGAAACAATTTTAAAAATAGTTTTTAAAATCATTTGAGTTGCTCTCAATTTTATTAAAGATATATTTCCTTAAAGTTTTTAATTGCCCTTCATATTTTATAGTTACAAAATTTCTTGCAATTATAATTAGATTCTCCTTTATTTTTACAATGTATAACAGCAGTTTTGAATATCAAACTTAATCATATTTTGTAACAGTAATTTTCTAGTAATAAGAAAATTAACATGCAAATAAATTCATGGTCAAATAAAGCGCATTACTACCAAATTTGTTCGCATTTTATCCGAAAGTTTTCCAATAATAAAGAAATGGGGAAGCATAAAATTCTATCTTCCATTCATTTCTAGTTATTTTCTAATAATAAGAAAATTAGGAAATCTATGACTAATAACGGGCTTATCTACCAACTCAGGTCGTTCTAATCATAAAAGTGTTTTCTCATAAGAAAATGAGGTTATCAAAAAATTCATTATTTAATAATACTACCCAATTGAATTACATTTTAGCTATTTTGTTTGGCTATAAAACTCAAGACATTTGTAGTGTAATTAAGATAATTTATGTGGAATATGACCATAAAAGTGATCTAGCAGTTTTCTACTTACCATTTGCATTTGAGTAAGGTATTTTTTCCACCACAGATATTTCTGCATGTGGGGTCCAAGTGCTGCTAAACAATAGTAACTGTACATAATCATATGAATAAAGCAGTTGATGAAGGGGAAAAAAGCATTGTGTCCTCCTGTTGAAATGAAAATAAATTTAAAATACGAAGTGCGTAACTTGTATTATTTATTTATTCATTTATTCATTTATTTTGCTGTTTTTCTAAATTGAATGCATCTCATGTTCATCGTCAGATAAATATTGATTTAATTAGCAACTTCAAAATTAAATTAAAGAACTTATGATTTCTATGCAATACGAATATAGTTTTAATAATAAGTGTATTATTTTTTGAACATATAAATTTCTAGATACATCTTTTGGCAGTAGCATGCTATCTACTTCACGATAAATTAAAATCTTCTGCGAATAAACGATTAATTTTCATGAAGTTCAATACTCCTTTTAAAAGTACGACATAACTCAAAATATTTTTATCATCGTTTTGTTTTATAAAAACTTTTGAAAATTAAAAAAGAAAAACATGACACATATTTAAATAATTCATCTTTAATGAGGAGAAAGGATTTCATTATTTACAAAACTTTTATTGAAGAAATAAAGTACTTATTTAAAATTTCAAATATTTTTAAATAAATATTTTAAGGAATTTTAAAACTAATATATATTGTACAAAAAAAAACACTTTTTTTGTAAATCTTCTTATATAAAAATGTTTTAGACTGTTCATTCCACAGTTGTAAACAAATTAAACATCTTTTCAAAATATAATTTAAATTTTTTCAATTGACCCTACTTGGAAAACAGTGATATATAATAATTTCATTTTTTTTTAAAATATTCAATTATTATAAATATTTAGTTTATACAGTTTTAATAGTAAATCATACAGGAACTATATAGTGCTTTTAATTAAAAGCTGTAATGTTCTTAAAATAGAAAAACTTTTTCACAGTTCTTACAAACAAATTTCAATAACACGTTTTGTACTTCTCATTAAAGAAAATATGTTTATCTAAAAGACATCGTTTGCAAACGTTATAGTCAGAATGAAAAAATATTATAAAATTTTGTTTTTTTTTTCAATGGTTAGAAAGAATGGTTCTAATGGTAACAGAAATATAAAAAGAAACATACCTGGTCCGAATTTCAGACCAATCCAAACACCCCATGCAACTGATGCATGATGAACTACGTGCAAGGTGCTGATATGATTGAATTTCTTTCTCAAAACAAAAAATATCTAAAAATGATTTAAAATATATGTAAATGATTTAAAATGGATGTAAAATATTATGAATACTTTTCAAAAAGTAATTCGAGAAAAAATATTGGTTCCCGCACAAGACGATCAAATATATCCATAAATCTTTAAATATTTTCCAAGTTTCTAATGTTAAGATGTTAAAATGTTTTCAGTTATTCTCTGCACCAATTTTTGACTCATTTCTGATATCACGTATATATGATACACGTATTTACTGTGTTTTTTTTGTAAAAATAAGACATGGAAAGCGGCTAGAGATATTTAAAGTCTAAAGTTTTCAACAGATATTGGGAGCAAGCACAATTTTACAATACATTTAAAAAATTGAATTGAGCTATAAACACTTTTACTATTTTTCTAACAATAAAAATTGATAAACACGATATTTTATTCTTTGAAATTTATAGTTGTCGAAAGCTTTTATTTGAAAAGACAGTTCATTTTTAATTATATAATTCCTCAAAATAGCTTTGGTTTTACAGTTTAATTAAAGAAAAAACTAAAATCATTTTAATTTTATCTAGAGCTTAGAATTGAATTATTTTCTGCATGAAACTTATAAAGTTTAAAATGATTTTTTGTTTAACAATGAAATAGAAAATTTTTGAAAAGCTAAAAAAAAAATTTTTTGCAGTTTCTTCAATTTTAATCAAATTACGTATTAAAATGTACTGTAAATGTCATGGTGTTACTGTTATACATTTAGTATTCTAAGTAGTACTAACTGTAATGCCATGTATGCTAAATGCTAATTAAGCATTTGCATTGTTTTAAAAAACTACTAATTGATACTATGCAATGACAAGGAATGACTTGAAAAAAGTTTAGAACCAAATAATTTTTTCGCAAAATTATTTTGATACATTTTATGGTTTCTTGGTTATTTCTTGTACGGATATGAAACTTCCTTGGATGGACTTAAATGACCACAAACTCATTCTGGGACATATTATGCTTTCACAAAAATTCATTAGAAATCATAAATTGACCATCCAAGGATCCTGCTTGACTACACTGAATGGTACGATGATGATACTTGATAATGGTGATACTGATACTTGATAATGGTACGATGTACATTACAGACAATAGCCACTATTTTCACTCGATGAAATTCCAATGGATTTTTTTCATTTGGTCTTTTTTGGCGACAAGGATGTGCAAACCTTCATCTGACACTTGGAGTCCTTAAAAAATTCCGTGTATATGACAAAATATCAGTTGTGACACGCTTAAGTAATTTGAATTAAGGATAAAGGTGGACACTTTCAAAATTCGCAACTATGTTACAGTTGCTAATGTTTCCTTGTCTTTTCTTGTTTGTTTAAAATTTTGTGATATCTTAAAAAAACAAATTTTTCCTTATTTGCGTCCAAGACGTATATATTGCCCCTGTACACTGTGAAAAATCCGGATCAAATTACGGTAACAAGCATCAGCAATTAAGATGGTAGTGCTTTCTACCGTAAACTTCCATTTTACCTGAGCATGTTACAGAACAAAAAAACTGATATACCGTAATTTTTACAGTAAAAATTACCGTTAAATCACTGAATCACTGTATTTAAATAAATATTACCGTAATAATCACGATATAATATTTTACTGTAAAATAGGTTCTACAGATGACGCACTCAATGTACAATCAATGTACACCCAATGTACAATCAGTACTTTAGCTTTAGACTATAATTTAGTCAGGAATTTTTTATAATGTATAAACATTCTTCTCTGAAGATTCTAGTTTCGTATTTCATTTCGCTTCGAGATGACACATAACAGAATTAGCTGTAATTGAAAGCAAAGGTCCGTAATTAGGCTTTAATCTCATTCTTAACAAAATTGAAGTTAATTTAAGAGTTTTATTCCAATATTTTAGACCCAGGAAAAGCTCTCTGAAGCTTGATCCTCTTCAGCCTTAAATCTTAATTGACTAATCTTGATATGTTAAAAAAATAACTGTGGTATATTGCTTCGTTTTGTTCTGTAAACTTTTCATGTATATCAGTTTAAGACGACATTTCAAACCTTGTACAAACCACAAAAAAAGGTTTACAGAAAATAATTTCTTCATACTGCAAACACAGACTTTGAAAACTATTCCATGTTTACTTCGTAATACCGCTAAGATAATTTTCAAAATGTCACAAGAACCTACCATAAAGAAAGCGACCATTTCCAACTATCAAAGATACAAAGTGTATGACCAAACTTACAGACAATTGGAAACAAAGTGCTGGTGCTTGTTGACTTATCTCATAATATATTTACTTAATGCATAAGACAAAATGCAAAAAATAAACTAGATAAACTTACTGTGTCAGCGAATTCTGTTATTTTCAACATCAGATACCACCAACCAAGATTTACAAGCTATAAGCAAATTTAAACATCAAACTATATCAAATAAATATATCAATACTTTAAAATGGAAAAAATTATTTGAAGTATTCTTATACTTCCTGAAATTTTGTGTGAAATGTGTTGTGAAATTTTTATATCTTTTATTTAGCATGTGTATAGTAAAATACTAAAGAACATTTACTAATGTTTGCAAACGTGATATTGGCTATTTTTCTATTAATTGAAACTTAGGTATTAATAAAGTGTCATAATGAGCAATTACTACTATAATTACTCATTATAAGTAATTATTTCGAAATATTTCGTTGAAATGTAAATCTTTCTGCATAAAAATGCTTCTAACTGAAAACAAATTTCGAGACTATACATTGTAAATGATCGCATTCATTTCAAAATATTTTTTATAACCGTTTTTTTATAACCACATTTTTTGAAAACCAAGATTACTTTTAAGCTATTTTCATATTCAAATATGGGCTTTATATTCTTTGTAAATACACATCTATCACATAAAATAGTTAAAGAATACTTTGAAAATATCTTCATTCAGTCCAAAGCAAGTAAATTAGAAATCAGGATCTGTGGTGGCTCAGGGGATAGCGCGCTCGCTTCCCAATGAGGTAAACCGGGTTCGAATACCAGAGATGGTTGGTCGATTCCAATTCAGTACCCGGCTCTCACCGACCACCACAATATTTATGTAAAATATCCTCAGTGGATCATGAATTATAGTCCTGATTGCCGTAAGGCTAACCGTGAAACGTCTTCGTTGTTTTTCCTCTCCCTGCAGCTCATATGCGGATTAGTTCCATCAACAACAAAAAAACTTCACAAAAGTAAATTTCGCCCAATACTTATCCAGAAGTCCCCTTCTATTCTGAATTGAGTTCAAAATTACAAGGCTACGGAGTTGAGCATTAGTAGCCGTAAACTCAAAATTTGGTTCGGCTGTTCAGCGGCGGTTAAAAAAATTAAAAAAATTGCAAAAAAATACACATACAGTTAGTTAAACCTCCTACTAAGGTTTGCTTAAGTTTTCATTTAGAAATTGATTATTTAAACATAATTACCATTTTAGAAGAAAAAAAATCCCTCAGGATAAGAGACACGTTTAAATATTGATTCTTACCAGCATGCTTTCTTCGTCAGTAGAGTAGTTGACAGGTTCGCACATCAAATTGTATTTTCCTGAAAGATATGTTTTACTACCACCCTGAAATGTGGAAGAAAAACTATTAACTTAGAATAGAGTGTTATAGTTCACTGCTTTGTTACGCTGATGAAAATTAACTACAAAATTAAAATTTACATTTGAAAATTAACACTTGAAAACAAAATAAGTAAAATCAACGCTGAAATATGTGTACAGCCTGAAGAAAAGAACGATATACAGATATTTATGAAATGGCAATATACTTTTTTTTTAATGTAAGTTTATATATGTTTGCACACATAGCAGCATGTTTAACAATAACAAAACGCGTTTTTTAAAAACACCCTTCAGTATATAATTTTAGTTTTATTATTATTATTATTATTAAGTCGTTTTACTGAGTTGTATTAATGCATAACACTACAGTCTATATAACTCTAACAAATCATGTATATAATTTTTACAACCAATAACGAAAAACAAGCAAAATAATTTAAAAATACCATCAAGCAAATTTAATAATTAATACACTAATTAAAAATGTACTTACGTAGAAAAAGAAAAATGCACTCAACACTACCATAAGAAGGTTATAAGCAATTATAATTCCATTGATTTGGAATGGTTTTCTCTCTTTCATATAAGCTGGTCCTAATACTTTTACGAAATATAAATAAGAAGCTATGATGGTTAACATAGGAAATGGACTTCCAGCCAATGGAAAATCTTTACCTCGAGGATCTGGAAGAGAAAAGAAAAATTACATTAACAAAATTCATGAGATTTAATGTAAGAAAATTTAGAAAATTAAATTTAAATAACTATTTCCGTTTCTGTTCAGCTGAGAAAAAAGAAGTACCAGAAAAGTTTAAGATAAACAGCTGATTTCAACGGTAATGTTATTTTTTAGTCTTCTTTTAGAAAATTAGAACTTAAAAATTATTATTGTATTAATTTTTAAGTTTTTTAAGTTAAAACTTCCACAATTGTATAAAATTCTGTAAAAAAATTGTATAAAATAATTGTATTCTTGATTGTATTAATTGATTGTTATTAATTGTGTTATGATGGTATTATTAATGTATTTACTTTTCTTTCAGGTAAAAACATTTGCGGAAGTGGAGGTAAAATTTTTAAATTTAAATAGAGCATTTTGTTAATTTTGTATTAATATTTTATTTTATAATAATTTTTTTTCATTTGAAAAAACATGTAAATTCTATACAATTGGGAAAAAGGAAACCGTTCTCTAACTGTAAAAACGATGCTCATCTTTAACCATCTTTTGAAATTTAAATATTTGAATTACCATCATCCGATGCTACTTGGACAACAGAGATAAATTAGAACACTTTATGTGGGTAAATTTTGAAATCCAATCCTAGTTACACTGATTTAAATTTCATTGTTAACTTTCAAGCTACAATTTCCTTGTTTTACTAAAGTTTTGGATCATATATTGAGTTGTTCGGAAAGTTATTTCGTATTTTTCCAACAGAGGGGCTTTATTTTCATTTATTTCGCAGCCGAATTCACACTTAGGCCGCATAATCATTAAATAGTATAATCATTTTGACAGCTGATATAGCAAGACTACCTTTCGAAAAAGTTCGATTGATTCTACGCAGTAGTTTTTCGCTGATGCACTTTCAAATAACGAAAGTGAAAACCAGAATATTTGTCATATTATACTTTTTTTAAAGAAAAGATAAAAATGATGGAAGAAAAAAAACTATCCGACGTGTATGGAGTACGCCAGTGTTCATCCATGTATTAGGAGTAAACCAGTGGTTTGCAAAATTCCAATTAAGATCATTTGTTGAAACAGCGTAGCATGGTGCACGGAGATACACCACTCCAATTTAAGCTATTAAAGACACAACAAAAACATTTATCAAGGCTTACCGGTGAATGACAACTTGTGCGTTCTCTGAGACATTAAATTTATGGAATTCGACAGTTCATAATCATTTGAAAAACCTACGGTTTTGTCTCAAAGATCGACTCATGGGTTCCTCATGTTCTTACAGAAAGCGATTTGTGCCGTCACATGACAAGTCTGTGATTTGCTTCTCAAACGTCAAGGAAATTATCCATTTTAGAAGAGCATCATCACTGGGGACAGGAAACAGGTTGTCTACAGCAATTTTCCAGTCGCTACAAAAAATTTTGGGCAGAAAAACTTTGAAAGCGATTTAGAAGTAAAAGAATTGAAATTAATATCCGAAGAAACCAATTTTTTTTCTGTGTTTATAACCCTGTACTTATATTTAAGAAAAGTCCATTCTAAATGTATGCTTTCCACCACGTTAATCATCAAACTCGTAATTATAAGAGAAATTTCAAACAAAAAAATTTCAACCACTTATTTTCTGGTACCTTTACGTATAATTATAATTCAATCGTGATTTTTTACTCGATATTTTAGATTCCCTTTCTACTGGGCTACGAAGGGCCGAAGGCCAACAAAATTTGATTTAAAAGAAACTTTTTACACTTTTTTTGTCTTCTTATTGTTCTAAGCTTTGTCAAAGTTATTAATTGTTAACTTTGTTAACTTATGTAAGTGTTTTGTTAACTGTAACGGTTTCGTTACTAAGCATCGTAAGACAAATATAAGATTCTTACTACTAGCGTAAATGTCCCACGTTAGGGAGTAAATTAGGCCACCATGTTTTATTCATTCATTCATTTACTTATTTATTTATCGTACTTCGAACTTTCTAACACAATTACACAATGTAGCTTTATATCAAAATTTTACAACAGTTGTTTAATCTCTAAAATAAGTGCTCTTAAATTGTCAATTGTCTAAAATGGTGAAGTGACTTAAGCAATAGTGAATGACGTCAACTAAAATTTTAAACTTCGAAGTTAAATAACGTTAGAGATTAATTACTAAATTGATTGGGAAAATTAGGCAGAAAAGATTAAAATTTAAACAGTACAAAAATTTTAAGTCAATTTTGAATATTTTAATGAAGAAATTATTCCCATTAATAAATTTTTACTTTTTAGTTTAATCATAAAAGGACAAAACAATAAGCAATTGAAACATAATGATTATAAATTTGCCCGAAACATCGAAAAAAATGTGAACAAAACAAAAATTATTAATTTTCAGTTGGTTTTAAAACGAGTGTTCGCAATTCTATGTTTACTAATTGTACAACAGATGGCAGCACTGCAATCCATATCGTTTTAAAGTTTTTATAATCAAATAAACAAATTTTAAGCTATTTTTGGAATTTTAATTCAATTAATGTTTGAATAATTTTTATCAACCTTCAAAATTCGCCATTTTAACATGCGACAAAACCTTTTAAAGATTCATGATTAGGAAAAAATATATAGATAAATATATTGAAATTTTTTTAGTTAATGAAATTAGATATTGAAATTATTTAGTTAATGAAATTAGTTATTGAAATTATTTAGTTATTGAAATTTTTTTATTTAAATATTTCGCTCGTTTTTTTTTTATTATTATTATTATTATACTGTAACTTTACTATATTCTTATATTCTGGTAGTTTTAATCATACTTTTTTTCTCGTAATTTACTCGATAATATGGGAAAATTTAGCTCCCCTTAAAGGTTGCAACAAATTTGCATAATTTTATTACGATATTTATGCACACGATTTTTAGTTATTATTAGAATATTATTTCAATTATTCTTTAATTAATTTTTACCAAAATTCGCAATTTAAAATGCAGCAAAAACTTTTGAAGAATTATGATTTAGAAAAAAATATTGATAACTATTTTGACATTTTTTTAGTTTATTTGCTTACATATTTGGCTCGTTTTTTTATTATTATTTTCTTTCTAAACGTTTGTGCGATTTTAATCTGCAAAATATACATACACAGAAAATGTATTACTGAAAAAAATACCTTTCTTCAAGAAAAAAATATTTTTTAACATATTTTAATCCCAAAAACTGTTCCTTTGATACTACTGTAAGGTTGAATTCGATTAATTTATTTGATAAATTTTGGATAGAGAACATAAAATGTAAAGTATTTTTAAATTAGAAAGAAGTATTAAAATTATTATTTTAAATTTCACAGGTATTACTGTGTACCCTCTCCTTTTAATCTGAACTTTTTCTGTATCAGTTATACCATAATCAAAAAATTAGAAACTTATATTTAGGACAAAAAAAAAGCTCCTGTCAACTAAATTTCTTCTGAATCAATTTCAAACTGGTGAGCCCGTGTTTCATCTGGGCGATTCTTTAGAGATAAATCAACTAATTAATTAAACCTTATAATTAATTAATTAATCATTATCGATTGTGCCAGTTAGAATCTGTTATTTCTTAATATTTTGCACTATTATTCTTAATATTATTTCTTAATGATGCATCAGGATTTATTATTTCTTAAGTGTCCAGTGTGCCAGTTGTAATTTTTTTATTTAAAAAACTGATTCTTTTCTTTTTTCAATCCTCTTGTTAACTTCCCTTTAATTATCATTTGAAATTTGAAATTCTACTAAAATGATAAATAACAGACCTTGTAAATTGCAACTAAACAATTAAATCAGTTAGCTGATTGGTTGATCAGGTTGAGTCAGCAAAAAATCCGTTAAACTGACACCCTTCCTTTAAGTTTTTAGCGTTTATAGGTTTACAGGTGGACAAAATTGGCTTAAATTATTTGCAATCCATCTAAGTAGACCATCAACGAAAAGAACCAACTTATACGCGTTTCACTGTGTATGCTTTTTGCAGAAAATCCTTAAAATCCATAATTGCATAGGCTTCAACTTGTTATCTTAATCAGTTGTTTGGTCAGTGTGCTTTTTTCTTTTAGAATCGTGATTAAAGATTTTAGCAACCGTAATAGAACAATTGATTTCAAAATTATCGCTTCACTTATCTAAGTATGATTTAAAAATTTAAATAGTAGATGGCATATCATTATATTAGTCAGAAAAATGTCAATTTTTCTATATTTCTGGATTTTTATCGCAAATATAAATGATGGAAGTTCCTTTTAATAAGTACCTTTTAATAAGTAATTTTAAAAAAAAAGACAAATCTTAAAATGTTTTTTATCGAGCCTTAAAAATGCTTTATAACATATAGCTGTAACAAAGTATGTATAGTAAAAACATAAATAAAGGATATTTCTTTTTCATAGATTCGCTGCTTGTCGACACCTTCAAATGAATGTATTCATTTTTCATATAATTTGCCTTTATTTTTTGCATATAAAAGAAATTTAAATGTCTGTCCGAATTATATTTTTGAATCGCTGGGGGGGGGGNGGGGGGGGATATTTCATAGATACCATCGATTAACCAAACTTATTTAATCGAATTTTTCTTCCATTCAGCATTCGAACCCATTTCGTCCACGGTGAAAAATATTCTGGCGAAGTTATAGTACCGAATGAGAAAAACATTTTTGGAAAGAAAAAAAAAAAGAAATCTAGTTAATTAAACCGAAATATACGGTGTTTATACCATTCGTTTGGAAATTTTTCCATTCATATGGTAACGATTAGTTGGAAATTCTGATTTTCTAAACTGTAGTTTATACTACCCCACATTTACTGAAAAATACGAAACTGAAAGGTAAGTTTAACTGAATATATGGTTCTAATGACATTCTCTAAAGTATCATGATCAATTTACCAAATTTTTATCACATTTACCAAATTTCATCACATATTATAAAACAATATTTTATTTTAATTTTGCCAAAATCATTATCAAAACATTTCAGT